TGCGCAGTTGGCCGCCCGCTGCGGTGGGTATCGTCCTCCTCCCAGCCGGGCCCGACGGAGAGTGACCCCGGCGAGGGACAGGTGTTCCTCAGCGAGAGCTGCGTGAAGGTGGGGACCCCGGGAGGCGCTCGGGTGCCTCTGGGAGGGATCTCAAACTGCCTGACCTGCCCTGGGCACATAGGGGAGGCGTTTGAGTGTTCACTAATTCATTGATCAGGTCTTTTCATTGTATTCCTCTTTTCTTTGCAGAGGCTGCTGGAGATCACAGAAGGCTCAGAGTTTCTTAGGCTGCAGGTGGAAGGAGGTGGCTGCTCTGGATTCCAATATAAGTTTTCCTTGGACACAGTTATCAATCCTGATGACAGGCAAGGACAAAGGGGTGTAGCAGTGGTCGGTTGTGGCTGGGGCTTTTGGTTGTGGCTGCTCTTTACAGAGGTAACAAGAAGGGTGTGTGTGACATGATAGTATCTTGAATTGAAGGGAGAAAGCCTGTGAGATAAGGAAGGTGCTCAGGCTGCGCTTCTCTGTCGGCTCTGCAACACAGTAATGATTAAATATGCTGCTTTTCTACAGGGTGTTTGAACAAGGTGGTGCCCGTGTGGTCGTGGATGTGGACAGCCTGGCCTTTGTGAAAGGTTCCATGGTAGACTTCAGCCAGGAGCTGATTCGCAGCTCCTTCCAGGTGTTGAGCAACCCCCAGGCAGAGAAGGGTTGCTCATGTGGGACTTCCTTCTCTGTTAAACTCTGACTGGACTTCCCATGGATGGACACTGTCTGCAGATACTTTCTGGCAGTCTTCAGAGGATTTTTGCTTATTCTTTTCCCAGCTGCTCCCTCTCATCTCCCTTGCACTGTAACACAGATGTTATACATGACTCCAGCTGTGTGTGTATCTGCACTGCGCCTGCCTCCAAGACTTGTTGGCCTTCCCTTCAGAAACATGAAGTAGCCATGAGCACGCACACGGGAGCATCATCAGCGCCTTGTGAACCACCAGTGAGGTGGTGCTGACTCACCTACCCTGTCCTGAATGTGGAACCACTTAACTGCTTGTCTCTGCAAGAGATGGCTCTATATATGTGTGTGTGTTTATTGAACATTCTTACTAAAAAAATGTCTTTGAGATTGATTGGTATTGCTCATGTATTCCCCCATGAGTAGAATCAGGGTTCTTTCAGGCTACTGTTGCTTATTCCCTGTCATCTGGCAGAATGGGACTCGTCTCTCTCCCGTACACCTCCCAGTGTTGCTTGCTCAGCACTCCCCAAATCATAGTGGGCTTTTCCAGATGCTTTGCTGCTCACTTACCCAGCAGGCTTCTCTCGGTTCCAGGAACCTACAGTGGTTTTGCTGCCAGTCCCTGGGGTGACAGTTTTTACTTGTTCAATTACAGCTAAAAAATAGAGGTAACAAGAATTAATAGTTAGTTTATTTTATTTTAAAAAAAGAAGCAGCTTGTATATACATATATATAAATAAAATACATAAAGCTCCATCACCCGGTGCTATTTTAGGCTGTTCCTAAACCTGGCTTGGAATTTTAGGTCATACAAACTCTTGGGTTTCGTAGTATGGCTGCTACCTTCCCTTTCCACCGGGAAGGGACATTCAGGTGAGGGAGGCAGAGAAGGATCTGGAGTACTACTTAAGGGTCCTCAGGTCCTTTTGACTTAGTTGCCTTTTTTCTATAACTTTCTTCACTGTTTAATCTCTGTCTGACTTGTGCCTGGTTTGGTTTCCTTTCTGAAACTCCCATGGAATGGGAAATCTAGAAGTTTCCAGAATAACATCCTTTTGATTAGTTGTTTTCTGTAGTTTTTTATCAGCCACTAGATGTCTTTTAAATCAAAGTGATTCACCTGCTTCTGGGTGAGAGGAGAGATTGTGTTTTATCTGATCATAACCAAATTGTTTAAGACTCTAGTCTTTCACGTGAGTGTGGGAGCACTGCATGACTTTCATTTCAAGGAAACTGCTTATGGCAAACCAAGAGCTTTTTGAAGACTCTATGCCAAAGGCACTTTTGTTGTTAAGCTTCCCAAGTGCCTTTCTAAACTAATCAGCAGTGCATACAGCACTGATTTGCTTGATTTCTAGTGCTCCGAGAGTTGATAGCCAGCTAGTTTCAGTTTCATCTATAGCTTTTACAGTTCATATGTGATCTGCTCTTTGTCCCATGGGGAATATTGACAGGATTTGGGGCAGCAGCTCTTTTGGTTTAGCCCTTGCCATTTCCTGCAGTCAACTAGTTCTACTTAGTTATGTTGCTGTCAGAGGGAGCTGGATGTAGCACTGTCCCATTTTGTAAAAGCAGGTAAAAGGATGTGGTTAAAAGACTTGTCTGAACCCCTGCGGGATGTTTTGGCCCTACCCTCATACTCCCAGGTCTTGAATGTGGTGTCAGCCAGAACTGCCTTTGAAAAGTGTATGACCTAAAAGCTCGTGTAGGTAGAAGACATTAGGTAAACTCAGTTTCTTACAGCTGGGATAACAGCAATGAAAGTTGGTGGGAGGAGTTGTTTTTTGAACCAGGAACTACAGATCTGTTCTTGATCCATTTCACACAGACTGACTTTGGTCAAGTCTCTTTTGGGATCTTTTATGGGAGATAAAAGTGCAGCAGTAGTGCTGGGGAGCTAGCAAACCAGCAGCTACCAAGTCTTTTTTCCCTGAACTAAAACCTGCCTTCAGCCCCTGTAAGCATGCAGCCTTTGTCTTGGGTTACTGTTACTAAATATAAGTGTGCCTACACTCTCTCTCTGCGCTGATGAAGTAAATCAAGCAAGGGCTGTCCATGTTGAGTGCCACCCTTCTCAGAGAATTTGCCTCCTCCCTCCCAGGGACTGTACAGAGGATGAGCTTTGGGTCCCCGCCAGTGTCACCAGCAGCGTTGTTGGGCTCAGGCGTGTCCTGCTGTGCCTGCGGTTCTGGCAGTACTGCTCTGACTGCACTAGGTGGACCCCTTACTCCTTGGGAGTCGCTGCACTGGACGGGTACCGGCATTTCGACTTCTGTCTGGGGTGAGGTTGGATCTGCTCCATGCAGGACATAAGCAAGAGCAGAAGTTTTGTTGCAGCTGCCTGTTTTGGAGGCAGGGTGGAGCTGAGTTCATCTGGTGTTGCAGCAGTGTGGTCTCTAGATCACAGAAACTGCTAGGAGCTAGAGAGGTTCCAGCTGTACAACAAGTTGCTCTTGGCCTCCTAGTCCTCGTTCCTGGAAGCGGCTATAATCTACTGGCCAAAGCTACTAGTCTTCTGGCTCCCAATAGGGAATGGGTGCAAAGGGCTATCTGTCACCTCCAGAGCCCTCCTGACTCTTAAAAAAAAGTCCATCAGTACATCAGAATTGAAAACTTCTGTCCATGTTTAGGATCTCAACAAAGGAGGTTGTGTTAGCAGAAGGGAGTGAAGGTCACCTTGATGAATGTTGGCTGTGTAGGCAGCAAAGGCTAGATCTTGGCTCTTATGGCTAGATTTTACTCTGCTCTTGTGAGACCCCATCTGGAGCACTGTGTCCAGGCCTGGGGCCCCCAGCACAAGAAAGACGTGGAGCTCTTGAAACAGGTCCAGTGGAGGGCTGCAAAGGTGATCAGAGGGCTGGAGCACCTCTCCTATGAAGGAAGGTTGAGGGAACTGGGTATGTTCAGCTTGGAGAAGAGAAGGCTCCAGGGAGACCTCATTGCGGCCTTCCAGTGCTTGAAGGGAGCCTATAAACAGGAGGGGGAGTGACTGTTTACAGGGGTTGATGGTGACAGGACGAGGGGGAATGGTTTTAAACTAAGAAAGGGGAGATTTAGGTTAGATATTAGGAAGAAGTTTTTCACTCAGAGGGTGGTGAGGCACTGGAACAGGTTGCCCAGAGAAGCTGGGGGTGCCCCCCTGGAGGTGTTCAAGACTAGGCTGGAGGGGACCCTGGGCAGGCTGCTCTAGTGGTTGGCAACCCTGCCCACAGCAGGGGGGCTGAAACTAGATGATCTTTAAGGTCCTTTTCAACCCAGGCCATTCTGTGATTCTATGAAAAAGAAAAAAAAAAAAAACAACCTGTCAAGTTTTGTACACTGAATAACCTTAGGGGGCAAAGATTGCACCAAACTGAAGGCTGTTGGGCAAGACCAGTGGTGCCAAGAAAAGGACTCAGAGGATTAGACAGGGGATTTTATTGTGCCTGGGCTGTGAGGGACTGCCAGGGCATCCCTGTGAGATGCCTACAGTGTGGGAATAGATGGGAGCCTTTGTACTGAACCAATGAGAAAAAGCAGGAGTATGGAGCTGGAGGTGCCGCCTTTGCTTCATTGCAAATGGGAAACTGCAGTGGAAAATCTCTTCTCCCACATGAAGAAGAAGGATTCTCTCAGTTCACCCACCTGGCAAGGAATGAATGATCAAGAAAGATATTTACAGAAACCTACGTTGAGATGAAACTTCAAGGAAAAAGGGCACAATCATCAGCGTCATTGACAGGCAGGTAGAAGAAGATGGAATAGAAATCCTCAGTTTGGTGAGAGCTTGTTGGAGCTCTGCAGGGACTTGTTAGTAGACAGCCAGCGCATCCTCAGCCTGTGACTATGGCTCTGTTCTTCAAATTAGGTATCTGCTGTTAACTGTGGGTCCCTCTTCTAAGCTTTGGGCCAGGCAGTGGTAGAGAAATGGCGTATTTTTTGTCATGCGCCTTTTCTCGTGGTTTAGGGATATGCATGGGAATACCATGCTCACCTTGGTGGGCTTCTGTGTGGTATTACTTGCTACAAAGACATTTTGGAGTGAGTGGCTTCTATAAGACCAAGGGCCAGCCAGCCTAGGGTAGTGGATTTTAGGGGAACAACTGGCCCTCTCATCACAAAATTTTCATTTGCAAAATTTTACTAAGCTCTGTCCTCTCCCTTGTGAAATTCTATATCTGTACAGAGCTGTTGGGTGAGTCATGAAGACATCTAGGAGTAAGGAGCCAGTACCCCCCAGATGACGCCCACTGTGGCTTCTGCTGCTCCCACACAGCAGGATGATTTCCTGCTTTCTTGGGGCTTGCCTGAATCCAGCACCTGGGGGAGGAATCACTGAACAGCGGAGGAGGCAATAACAGGAAGGCAGAAGTGCATGAAAGAGGGCTTCTCTTGTCTGTGTCCTACACTGTGAATGCAACTGCTTTTATATCAAGACTGTTGTCAGCCTTGCAAGCGTTCTGAACATCCACTGGCAGCTGGAAGTAAAAAAACAGAGTGGTATAAACCCTTAGCTGGGGCTGGCTGGAGGAGCTTATTGAATTCAGAGCAAGCATGCTCTATTTCCAGGATGAGCTGCTACAGCATGTGCTTGAGGACCTAACCACATGCTCTTTCCACTAGCAAACACAGCAGTCGGGTTCGTTAGCAGAGGGTGTGATAAGATGTGCACCATTTTGATGCTTTGTTCTCTTTGCCTGTTTTCGTGCACACCAGCTGAAGTGCTCAGCCAGCGTTCACCATGCTCCCCTGGAACAGGCTGTAGCTGCCAGAGAGACGGGGAGCAGAGAAAGGGATAACCTCGTGTAATGGTGTGTTTGATACAGCTGTCAGCCAGCCTGGAAAAAAGAACGGCAATTCAAGGAGATGGAGCATTGGCGAGAATAAACTGCAGCCGCCTGTATCGTATCAAACTCTTCCATTTGGGTAATCTTTTTGTTGCCCTTTTTTTTTTTTTTTTTTTTTAAAGAGGATGAATCTTTGAACCAAACACCCATAGGGGCTAGGTATAGGCTTAATGGTGCAGTTTGGATCTTGCTGGGTTCTGAGGAATGTTTGTTCAGTGTGGTTTCCAGGATTAGGATGCAACTGGCAGATATCTGCCCAGGAAACAGCTCAGTGGATCCTGGATTTGGGGTGGGTTTAGCATCCAGCTGTGGACAGAAATGAAGCTGTTCATGACAGTGAGATGGGCCATTACTCCAAGGCTGTGATTCCTTGCCCTGCAGGGAGCAGTTTGTATGCAGTGCTTCCTGCCTCTGGCCTTCCCAGCACTTGCACGGCTCTTAATATTTCCTGCTTGGGCAATAAGAGTTTATGGCCCTAGTCTTTGTGGTTGATTAGAGCCCAAGTTTGTGCCCCTGTTTTAATCAGTGCTCATTTACCTTTGGCATCCTTCAGAGGAACAGAAT